TATATACCCAGATGATCAAAAATTATTTTACAACAAAGACATTTGCACCAGAATGTTTATTGCAGCCCAATTCATAATAGCCAAGACATGGAAACAGCCCAAGTGCCCATCAATCCATGAATGGATTAACGAATTATGGTATATGTACACTATGGAATACTATGCAGCCATAAAAAAGACAGAGACTTCACATCTTTTGTTTACCTGGATGGAGCTGGAACATACTCTTCTTAGTAAAGTATCCCAAGAATGGGAAAAAAAAGTATCCAATGTACTCGATACTACTATGTTTTCATTTCTAAGGTAAAGTTCAAGTTGTAGTTGAGCTGTTCACCCAGGAGGTAGGCAGTGTGTCCTTACACTGTGCACATTAGGTGAGAACTTGCCAGTCCTCCTTCCTTCCTCCTTCCTTCCTCCTTCCTCCCCTCCCTCACTTGAACATACAAATGTTTTTCTTTCCTTTGGGCACATAATTGTTTACATATTGGTTTCATATTAGTATTGAGTACATTGTATATGCTTATTTTTGTAATTAAAAACAGAGTAGAAATCTCAGAGTATCTCCATACTGAATTTCCAGCTTCAAGTATGCATCTGACAATGGACTAAGATCATGTTTCATCATAAACATAGAATGCCAGGGCTGGAAAAGCCAGAGGAGACCATCAGACATAACCTCATTTTACATATGTTCAAAGTACGATTGAGATTGTCCAATTGGCTCCCAAGATTTCCTGGCTCATTTCATCATTCACAGATGCAAAACATCTTGATGAAATCTGGATGTTTAAAAAATCCAGGCATTTATTTGGTCTCTATAGACTTTTGGAAGAATGTTTTCACTTTTAATTTGCATGTTAAATTCCGTGCAGCCAAAGCCTTTATTTTCTTCAACCAAGAGCTGTGAGCTAGCTAAAAACAAAGAGTTTGGAGTTGAAAAATTGGCTCTGAGTATCATGTATCAGTAGAGTGCCTCCAATTAGGGAACTGATTCTTAGAGTAAATCATTACTAATGGTTTTCCCATTGAGGGTTGCACGGTTCTGATAAAGATGACTCAGGAGCCTGCAGTCACTAACTCATCCAGGATTAAATGCTGCTTGTGAAAATGGTGGATGGCTTTTTAGCTCTGACCAATGGAATGCTTATCGTATTCTGGGAAAGGTGTATTTTGCTTCGGTTTCACGTAAGCTGTTGACTTCCATGTCATAGCCTGTCATGTGCCATTTTCTAACTGAATTTAATGGCTCCTTACCTCTTATTTCTTATACTGGTCTGCTAGTCCCATTATGTCAGGGATCATATTCTTATTATATATAATACCATCTTATTACAACAGATTCTAAAACGACAAAACCAAAAAACCACCCTAGCTCAAAAGCTATATACTTCAGGAAATCTCCAACGAGGAGCCATAGTTTACCAAATACTTGGCCTCATTTAAATAAAATCTCAGAAAACTGAATTTCATAAAGGATACTTCAATACGCTTTTATTTGTCCCTGAATGGCTTTTGAGTTTCCCCCAGTTATTTACTTTAAGTCTTTGCCTATAGCAGGCAGTGCCGGATTTGAGCCTTGACTCAGTTACTTTATAGGTTCACGATTTCAGGCAATTTCCTCACCTGTAAAACAGGGATAAAAACGGTACCAATCTCATGAGACTGTTGTGAGGGCAAAATTGAGGTAACTTGTCAAAAGCCCTTAGCAGAATGTCTGGTACACGGTGACTGCATTGGACATCTGTGTTAATTGCTGTCTGTCTCTTACACATTTCCAAGGGGAAGGCAGGTGTATTGTGAAGAGCTCGGGGTCTGGAGTGCATTCTGGGATCCAGTTTGAGTCAGCTACTTACTCTGTGTGGCATCTGGAGAAATTTAATTAACCCTTTGAGCCCTATTTCCTCATTTCTAAAATGCATATACTGTAATAACATCCAGTTCCCTGGGTTGATGGAAGCAAAGTGCCTGTTATGTCCCTTTGCTACCAATCGATTATCAACAAGTTAACATTTATGAAGTCTATTCCAAGGACAAGGCAAAGCAGAAGGGAAGTTTCAGAAGAAAAACAAACGCGTGTTCTTCACCATGGGCAAGCATGGTAACAAAATCACGCCAGCCAGGCACAAAGAATAGCTGATGGCACATGCAAATTCAAGTGGAGGTCTAATCCATGCCCATTTATACATTTCGAGCTCGGATGTGGAGAAATTTTCAATGAGAGCCTTTCCCCCCGGTGTTTTTACAAGTCAGCAGCTCTCCAAAGCTCAACTAAAATATGGGCTGATTAAAGACACTAGAAAAACTGGAACAGTTACAAACTGCTCAGTGGCCAGTGCCACAGAAACTGGGATAAAACAAGCTCCTCTCCTTTCTAACCAAGGGCAGATGCCCCAGCCTGGGTCGGGGAGGTAAAGGAGAAGGGTGGAATGCTGGCCTCAAGTTGCCTCCACGCGGATGGCAGCGGTGCAGAGGGGCTCCCTCCCAGTGTCCCCGGCCTCCCGGTCCCCGTCATGGAGGATTTTCCTCAGGCGTCGTGACCGACCCCAGGCGTGGCGCCGGGGCCCGCGGGGTGGAGGCGGCCCCGGACTCCAGCCCTCACACGGTTAAACCTGGTCGGAGGAGCCCGGAGGAGGGACGGG